AGCTGGGGGATGAACAACAAAACTAGAGTTTTATTTTGCAGCTTCCTCCAATTCCTTTAAACCAGCTTCTATAAGCTTCTTATCCAGCTTCCTATATTGCCTTGAGACAAGTAATGCTAATATTTATTTTTGGCTAGCTCTCTTGATTTAGTGCACTTAATTTCTATGATTCAATCTGTACAAAGTAAGTCAGATATAGATTTAATAAAACTAAATTAACTTAGTGATTGATTCTCTTAAAATTTACCTAAAATTCAAGATCTTCTCGGGACCTCACAAACTATTTCTACGTGTCTTAATCAATAAAATTATATTCCAAATATGGATCCTCATTCTTCTTTTCTCCTTGAATGTTTTCCCTGCTAAATGTTGACTTGAAATCTTTCCATCGATCACGTAATTGCTGAAGCCAATGTTTCTTTATCTCAAGGGTAGGAGAGATATTATAAGTGAGCTACAAGGCATAATATTTGTAAAGTAATTTAATAACATCTAATATAACTAAAAAAGAAGATAAAATACAAAACTTTGTATACCAAAATATCATCCCAAATCATGTCCTTCGTGGCTTGTGGTACTTCCTTCCATTTAAGGTACAAGATGCCAACTCTAGATCAGGTCATATGGCCTATGTAACTTATAAATTATCACCTTCTGGACCAAGTAATCTTCTATCACCATCAAACTTCAAATGTATCCTTTCTATAGTACCTTGATGTAAAGCCATCTTTTTCAACTTTATGCTACCTCTACCCCTTATCTTTTTAGACACATTAGACATGTCCATTAGAACCTTCCATGTTCTTGTTAAGAAAACAAAATGATATAGGTAAGTAATTTGCATTTGAGTTAAAAATTAACAAATGAACTATTAAAAGAAAACAAAAAAATTGTTTTATTAATTGAGGTCATATTTTATTTATTTTCCCAAATTCCTTCATAATGATCATCTTTTACTACATATTCCTCATCGATCAAATCTACTTCAATTTACCTAGGTGAAATTGTAGTAAAAGGTGGGGTTTCATCAAGGTTAAAACTTGAGTTATCATCCTCTACATCAAGTCATCAATAATCTATCTTTTACCTTGTAGTATAATGGAGCACTGTTTATTTGCTAGATCAGTGACATAAAATATTTATTTCACTTGACTTGCTAAAATGAAGGGCTCATCTTTAGAACCAACCCTATTGAAATCATTTGAAATAAATCCAAAGTCCTCATCTATTTCAATGGCATTAAAGTGAACCCACTTACATTTGAAAATAGGTACTTTGAATTTGGTGTAATTTACTTTCCATATCTCTTCAACCACTCCATAATAATCTTGGAAGCCAACAGTGGGTTATTATCTTTTTAAACTAGAAAAATGCATCATTTCTGCTTTTATCATTATCCCACTATTTTGCATAGTACTTTTATTATCTTAGGCTTTTGTGTAGAAAGAATATCTATTTATATCATATCTGCCCCGACATATAACCTTAAAACAAGGTCTCTCAGCTAACCATGTTATTGTATCAAACACATTAGTCTCATTCATAACCTTTTCCTTTAACCACCTTCTAAAGGTCTTGTTGTGCTCATTAGCTAGCTGCATCTCATTTTTTCTTAGGTACTTATCTTTAAAAAACTTTTTATGGGCATCTAAATAAGGTTAGACTTCTTTCATGTTATTAAAAAATGTTGCTTGTTATACTTCTTCATGAGACATACGTTTCACTTTCACCCCTCGTGTTCCTTTATCAATAAATCTTGTCGCCTTATGTCAAGTTTAAAGGACTCCCACAACCTTCAACCTTTTCAAATATATTAAACAAAATTCAATAGCCTCTTTAGCCACATATCATTCAACAATTAATGCTTTAGGCCGGTATAGGTTCTTGGAATACCCTTTCAAAATTTTCATATATCACTCAAATGGGTACATCCACCTTGGATAAATAGGATTGTAAAGCCTTAATTCCCTAACTAAATGAACAATTAAATGCACTATGATGTCAAAAAATACTGGAGCAAAGTGCTTTTCTAATTGGCACAAAATAGTGTAACCCTCATTTTCCAATCAATCCAACTTGTCAATGTCAATGATTTTGCTACAAATAGCATTAAAGAAAATACACAATTTAGTTATAGTACGTCTCACATCATCTTTCATAATGTCCCGAATAGCCACTCGTAAAAGTTGTTGCATCAATACATAACAATCATGAGACTTCAAGCTTGTTAACTTCAAATCATTCATTAAGATAAGTCTTTTAACATTAGAATAATACCTTGTGGCACCTTAATACCATGCAAACATCTACATAAACTTGTTAACTTCAAGCTTGTTAACTTCAAATCATTCATTAAGATAAGTCTTCTAACATTAGAATAATACCTTGTGGCACCTTAATACCATGCAAACATCCACATAAACTTCTTTTCTCATCTTTGTATAATATGTGTGCCATTGGTGGCAAATCAGCTCTCTTTCCCTCTTCTAGTTATGCATGTAAGCATTTTCTTATTTTCATTTTAGCTAAATTTAGTCTGGCATTTATTCAATCCTTAGTCTTATCATTTATGTCCATAAGCATACTAACAAGGCTATCACACACATTTTTCCCCATATACATCACATCAAGATTATGTCTTACATCTAGACTTTGCCAATATGAAAAATAAAAAAAAATAAATTTCTTTTTTCACAAATTCTTTTCACTTGCATTTTTTTTATTCTTACCTAAGATGACATTAATTCTTTCGACATGTTGATAAACTTGCTCTCTAATTAAGGCATTTAAAGCCATTTCATACTCCTGTGAGCCATTAAAAGCTTTCTTTAATCTATAATAAGGATGATACGAATCAAGAAATCTTCGATGACCAAGGTAGATTATTTTTCTTCCATACTTAAGTTGTTGGAAGTATATACCTTCTTCACATATAGGACATACATTATGCTCTTTAATACTATATCTTGACTAGTTTTCATATGCAGGAAAATTATTTATTGTAGTGAAAATTATGGTGCATAAATTGAAGCACTCTTGCTTATAAGCATCAAATATATCTACACCTTCCTCTCACAACATTTTTAAGTCTTCGATCAAAGGTGCCAAGTAGATATTAATATTGTTTCTTGGCTGTATTGGTCCTAAAATGATCAAAGACAATATTATGTGCTTATGCTTCATACACAACCAAGGAGGTAAGTTATAAATAACCAACAAAATAGGCCATGCACTATGTGTGTTGCTAAGATTGCCATATGGATTGATTCCATCTGCACAGAGTCCAAGCAGAATGTTTCTTAGATCACTACTAAATTCATGAAATATGTGATCTATCATCTTCCATTGGGGAGAATCAGTGGGGTGTTGAAGCTTTTCATTAGATATCTTCTCATCAAAATGCCATCTCAAATTTTTTACTTCTATTGGATTAGCAAACAAATATTAACTTACTAAGATCAATTTACACACTAATTCTATGGAAGCCCTTTCACTTATCCAGCACAACTTCTTTGATAGTCATCCTTTAACATCAAACATCAAGAAAATTAAAGAACTTGTTATGAAAGATTGGTCAGTCACTTTTAACCATGACTTTAGAGAAGTAAACAAATGCGCTAGTCTGCTCGCATGTGAAACCTCTCATGAAAATTATGATCTCATTATTTATAATGAACCACCTATAATTTGCAGGTCCCTACTGGACTCTGATTTGACTTGATTTTTGTAATCCTCTCACAGCTTTGTCCATCTTCTTGTATTAAAAAAAAAGTATATGCATTAACTTATAATTGTCAACATTTTTTAGAAAATTATTGCCAAATCATATTATATATATGTGAAAAATGAGAAATAAAGTTAGACTTTGGTAGAGTCAAACTTTTGAGTTTTCTTTTTTTTTTTTAAATTAACCTTTTTTATATTAGGTTAAATCCATCCAACTAAAATTTGATTTCCAGCTTAGTGGCAACTCAACTTCAATCCAACCTAACTCAATCATTAAAAAAAAAAAAATTGGTCCAAATTGAGCTCTTAACAACTATATAAATCTGTTCATTCACTAACATATTGGAGCACAAATAAACAGATAAATTGAGCTTATCTTTTTTTTTTTTTTTGTTGGTGCCTAACAATAATAAAAGACATATCCTTGATAAGACTTACTTTATTACCGGAAAAGACATATAATAATAATGGAGAAGGAATTGGCAAAGCATGCTTCAAAAAAACTCTCAAGTGCTTTATTTAGTGGAAAGCACGTTCTTCATGTTTGAATCCCCACGTAGTCTCAGTCTTGTTGTTATCGTGCAAGCCACCAAACTTAGCCAATTATTTGGGATCATCATCTCTTCTTTTTCTAAACGTGGATTCCACATTTCCAGTCTAGTCTTTTCTAATTGTATCGAGAATGCTAATCGTGGCAGAAGATCCTGAACATAACATTTAATTGTAAGGACTTGGGTGTAATTCTTCCAATTTTCTTTCTTACCAGCTTTCGTCCTGTACATATATGCTAGTCGTCCAGATCATCCTTGCATCTATATATATACATGTGAAAAAGTCATTTCATGGTCATGTCAAGATCATTGTAATAAAATGATATTTAAAATAATAAATCACCGCATACATATCTAGATTTAAGGAAATATATTGAATCCTAGTCCTTTCGTATATGAGCAAAATGGCTACTATTTTCTTCATGGGGACTAATTAATTTGGTTGTAAACTTGTCATTCTTAAATTTTTAAGGATTAACATTGCATGCATATAAAATTTAAGAGACTTGAAATAATAAAATAAAAAATATAGAAAAAAAAATACCACATCACGCTGAAGGTATAGATGCATAGGGATAAAAGTTGCATTTTTTCTCTCTTTTTTCAGGGACGTATGAAAAGAAAAATATTTTTTAAAAAAGCTTTGTATAAGATGGGGCACTACATATGTAAATTCTATGTATTGCCCAATCAAATAATCAGATCAAGAATCCAATTCACCAAATGGATGATCGATATCGGAGTGTTGTGAATTGGTCTGATCTTCCCAACGAACTATGGTCGATGATCGGCAAATGCTTCAAGAGCAACATCGAACTTCTCCGATTTCGATCCACCTGCAGCTTATGGCGTCGTTCCTCTGTTCTTCCCTCTCGTACAGTTCCTTCTAGCTTCACTCCGATAATCGCCACCTCTTCTGGCCAGCGCCTACTCATCCCCACCACAATCTATCGCATCGAACTTTCCGATCTCTCCGAAACTCTTTCAACTTCTTCTTCTTCCTCACCCAAAGCCTGGTTGATCAAGGTTGAAGAATCCGACTACGGCCGTCTCTGTCTCTTGGACCCTTTCGCGTACAGTAGACTCTCGCACTTCTTTTCGGGGTACCCTACTGACCCTGTCCCTAAGGTGCTGAATCTGCTGAACTTTCGATTCGTCGAACTGGTAAAAGCATATTCTATGTCATTAATTGGCTCTGGTTTGAGGTTTCCTCTTGCTCATCGTGAGATCCGTGGGAAAGTGGTGGCGTTCCCCAATTTTGCTTGGACCCAGGTAGAGAATTGCAGGTTCTTCACCGTAAGTAGCGATGGAGAACTAGGGTTTTCGAAACTTGGTGATGATGAATGGACCCTTGTGGATTATAAGAACTTCTATTACGATGACATAATTGTTCATAAGGATCAGCTCTATGTTGTGGACAGATGGGGAATCATATACTGGATTGACTGTTCTTCCCTGAACGTGGTTCAGTTTTCTCCTCCGTTGCGTGGTTTGGGGAAGAAGAATCATTTGGTAGAATCATGTGGGAGTCTCTATGTTGTTGATATGAACGTTGAAGGTGATCCCAGCAACAAGAAGAGAATTAGATGTGGAAAGTGTATAAGGGACTGAAAGTGTATAAGCTTGATGAGGAGTGGGGGAGATGGTTAGATGTGGAAAGCTTGGATGAGCGTGCGTTTGTTTTGAGCATAGACTGTAATATCTCTCTTTCAGCTCAAGACTGTCATGGATGTGAAGAGAATTGTGTCTACTTCAGTTATAGAGGCCGTGCTTCTATGTTCAGCTTAGAAACTTCCACATTTCGCCCTCCCAGTGTCGTCTGGCCTTGCCCAACTCTATTCAATGCGTGACTATGATAAATTATTCAACTATATTAGACATGTTCCTTTAGAAAACTGTAGAGTTCTTGGTTTTTTCTTCCTCCAACATGAGAACTTTGTTGCAGAGGATGATTTTCTTGGGGGTATAGTTTTGATTCTGAAGAGGAGGTTCTTTTTCCATTAATTGCTGTGTTTATGGGGCTATCATGTGTATTGGTGAAGATGATTGCACCTTGTCTGTTTCAGCTGAATGTCCCAATTATTCTTTGTATATAATCCAGTTGGATTGTGCATGGTTAAGCCTGAAATAATCAACGGCAAGATCATAGCATGCATGAGTGGGAATGTAATATGTATGATGAAATATTCTTTCCGTACTAAATCATAAAACATTTTAATAAAAACAAAATTTTATTAGTCCATAAACATTATACTCTCTTTTTAATTTTTTTATAGAGTATTAAATTAAGAATATTTTTTAGCGTTTATATTTTTGTCTAGAGAAAATAAAATTGTTATATATGTTTAATGAATTTTATTTATATGCATAATTTATCTTGAAATGTTTTATAATTTAGGGTGATGTAGCCAAACAAAGATTGGGGAACTCTCTCTCTCTCTCTCTCATATTTTTATTTTTATGTTCTTTTTAATTAAACCATAACAGGATCCGCCAATCCAATCCAATATAATATAACTACTAATTTTTTGGAACCCAGGCTTGTTACATAACCAGCCATAAGAACTTGTATACTATATAGAGTTTGAGGTTGTTGAGCTACCTTATTTAGTCTGGCAATATAGTTTAGACGTAATTTTTATTTGTACTGTGAACTCTTTTGGTTTAAAATTTCAATAAGGAAAATTTTATATATTATTTTGAGAAATACTTAAGTAGATCAAGTATATCACATTATTTGTGGTTTATTCAATTAAAATGGTTCAAGTAATCTAAATAAAATCTTATGTGATATTTTTTAAATTAATTTTATTTTTATAACATAATACACATTTGATTTCTTACTTTTTCTCTCGCAATTACCTTTAATATTATAATCAATTTATATTTAATGTTATTTAAGGGTCATATTTTTTTAAACAAACTATAAATGACATGATGCATCTAGTCTATCTAAGTATTTCTCTGATTTATTATCATCATTTATAATTCAATAAAAATAATTTTTTCCCATAATAATTTTATTCCATTGCCGGATGAAAGAATTTGTGTTTGAAGCTATAATTAGTTAACAAGGATTTAGGACATGTTTATTTAAGCTTTTTTTTTTCTTGACAAAGTCATTTATTTTTTGAAAATTTTGTGAAATTTTATTTTTTTTAAAGTTTAAACTTTTAAAAATAATAAAAATGTAAAAAAAGAGATTTCTAATTATTTTAAAGAGTTACAGTAGCTTCTAAAAATAATCTCACTCTACAGATGAGAGAGAATGCTATAAAATGATGAGATGTATGAAGATATTATAAAATTTTAAATTAATTAAACAATAAATTTTTTTAAAAAAATAGATTCACAAAAATATTATAAAATCTAAAAACAACTAAATAATAATTATTTTTCTCATTGTAGCCAAACATAAAATAATATATTTTTTAATAAAATTTTTATAACCTATAAAATTATTAAATTAAATTATGCTACTGGTGCGAAGACTTTGTCGGTGAGCTATTTGCAAATATTGGAAGTCAATTTCAATATTCATCATGATGCTCACCAGGGTGGTAAGATTTAGACTATCTCGATTTTAATTTGAAAAGTCTTTTTTAAAAGGTTTTATTTTTTATTCTTATTTTATATTTATTATTATAAAATTATAAAAATTTTATTAAATTTATTTCATCACCAATTTGTACAATATAAACTTAATTTAAACAGTCCAATTAAATATTAAAAGTTTTTAAAATTTTTATAAATAGACTATCCATATGTACTATAGATAATTCAAATTCCTATAAATTTTTTAGAAATTTCATAAATTTTTATTTTGGTAAATATAATATTAAAAATAAAGATAATCTCCTAATTGAAACTTTCTAAAAAATATTTTTTAGAAAATAGTTGTGAGTTAAAAATTTTAAATTTAGATAGTCCAAAATACATCAGGATAACTAATTATAAAAATCTTAAAAAATTTTAATATTAAATTGAATCATTTAAATTAAATTCAAATTATCTAGATTTATTAAAATTTTTATAATTTTTATTTTATTAAAAATACAATAAAAACTTTAAATTAAAATCTGGATGATCCGGGTTATTAGCATTCTGGTATATACATGAAGAGTTCAAAAATAAAGTTGGATTTTGGCACAGTCAAATTTTTGAGTTTTCTGGGTTCTTTTTTAAAAAATTAGCTTTTTTTTATGTTAGGTTTAGATCTGTACAGCTCAAGTTTGATTTAAACAAACCAGCTCAATGTCAACTCAATTTCAGTCCAACTTAACTCAATTATAAAAAAAAAAAAATTTGTTTCAGGTCGAGTCCTTAACAACAATGATCAACAATTCAACCGATCCAATCATCTTGTCCAATTCTTAAAATAAAATAATATTCTAATTTCCAAGTAATCTGTACATTCACGAACATATTGGAGCATAAATCAACAGATAAATTGAGGTTATCTTTTTCTGTGTCTAAAAATAATAGAAGACATTTGATAAGACTTTGACAGAGCGGACATTAAAACATAGTGCATGACTTTCTTTATCACCAGAAAAGACATATAACAATAATGGAGAAGGAATTGGCAAATCATGCTTTAAAAAAACTGTCAAGTGCTTTATGTAGTGGAAAGCACCGTCTTCATGTTTGAATCCCTACGTAATCTCAGTCTTGGCCAATTATTTTGGAATCATCATCACTTCTTTTTCTAAACGTGGATTCCACATTTCCAGTCTAGTCTTTTCTAATTGTCTCGAGAATGCAATTAACTATTATTTAGATCCATTGCTATCAGAACATATCAGAATGACAACGAAATAGTTACAAGATTTTGCAATGCTATAAGGACATGGATGTAATTCTTCCTATTTTCTTTCTTACTAGCTTTCTTCGTCCTGTACACATGCACTAGTCATCCAGATCATCCTTGGATCAATACATATACATGTTAAAAAGTCATTTCACGATCATGTCAGGATCATTGTAATTAAATGATATTTAAGATAGTAAATCACCATATGCATATGTAGATTTAAGGAAAAATATTGAATCCTAGTCCGTTCATACATGTTTAATTAATCTCACGTTGAAAACCATGAAAACTGATCATTTTAGTGGTGGAAGTAATTAGTCCTGAACATATATAGTTTTTGGTAATTTTGAACATAAAAAATACACTCGTTATGTTAGAACATAACTTGTGTTTTGATTATATATATGTTTTGGAATTCTTGGACGGTATTTGACAAGTGAGATTGAAATTGAAGAGGATCGGAAAAACTTCACATTGGCAATTAAAGGAGAAAGATAATGAGTTTGATCAAACCTGCTTATTTTCTGCTTTAGTGAGTGGTGATGTGGAAGTGTTTAATTGCTTGTTTCACTTTCCTTGATATTCAATGTTTGCTTTTGTTTTTCTTTCTTTTTGGCTAAAGTATTTATTTGGTGTTTTAACTTTGTATAAGGTTTCATTTTAGTTTTTTAATTTTTTCAAGTATCTTTTCAATTCTTTAACTCTAACACTATTAATTTTATTAAAAAATATTTTCTCATTAAATTTTTAAATATTGACAAAATATCCTCAAATATTAACATATTAAGTTTTTCTCTTAAATAACAATGATTGGCGCAAAAAAAAAAAATCCTTCAAGACTAACGGTGTTAAGATCCAATGACTAAAAAAATACTTTATAAAATTAAGAGACTAAATTAAAATTTTATATAAAGTTAGAAGATACAAAAATATACTTTAGCCTTCATTTTTTGATTCAACAGTTTTCTATTATTAATTTTGCAAGGTCATTAGATTCCTCCTTTAATCATGATAGCTTCGTGTTTTGTGATGATGCCAGTGATAAATGATAATTTTATATATTTTTATCTTTTTAATTTAGACCTTTAAATATTTATTTGAAGTTAATTGAGTTTAATTAGATATTATTTAATTTTATTAGCCAATATTCAATTTTGAAATTTTAACTAACTAAATCTTTGATTTTAAAATATAAATAATATCTTTAATATTTTTGCACAGGTGCTATTTAATTTTATTTTATTTATGGAGATTTTCTAAATTCAATTTAGAAGATATTGATAGAGAATATATTGGATAAGAAAAATATGGGTATACTTGGAGATCAAATCAAGAATTAAATCTTTAAAATTTTATTTAAATTTATTTTGAGTTATTTAGTATAATTTTTAATTAGGGTTACTTAAAGTAGTTTTATCATTTTATTATTAACTTTTCTTTGACCATACGCAAGTGCATCCACTCTTTATATAAAGGAACGGTAGAGGCACGCATCACCATATATGTATATATATTAGGACGGAGGCATCACGAGGAGAAGGAAAAAACAGCGCAGCGACCGCGGTTCTCTTTTTCTTTTTTTTTTTTTTCTAACAATGACTTGTCAATTTCTCATCTCATATTACTTGATTTTTAATTTTATAAAAAGTTAATTTTTTTAGTGTGATCAATCACAAACTATAATCTTAAATTTTAATTAAAGTCTTTGATATTTAAAGAAGATTTTATTTTAACTTTATTTCAATTTTCTCTTCTTCTCGTTACCTCTGAATTTTATGTTTTAACTGTTATTGTTGAT